TGATCTCTGAAGGAATTCACCAGGTACATACCTGGTTGTAGATATGCAGGCAAATACTCAATACATAACATTTTTTAAAAATTAAAAAAACACACAAAATATCACTGTTGTGATGGAAGAAAACACACTCTTCATCTAGGAAAAACAACGAATAGAATTTAGAGTAAAAGGAGGGAGTGCATAGAGCTAAATAGACACAGTGGAGCCAAAATCAAGGGAGAACACACATGGGGGAGCAATCATGCAATGTGGTCTTGAGGATTGCCAGGAAACAGATGGCAACATCCAAGCAGACATCTGCAATGGATAGCAAAATCATATGCAAAGACACAAGTGGCCTTGTAAGCATGCCCTTGAGAGGCCCACCGGAGAAGGCTTGCTTAGCCAAACAGAAGGGCCAAAGCCCTGTTCACTTTGTCATAGTTCTACCTCCTCAGAGCTCTGCTCACAGGGGTTTAGATGAAATTGCAGAAGAAAGAGGTTTCTACTGATGATGCTGGCAAACATTGCAGTTGACATTTACACAGTACTTGTTTACAAACAAACATACTCATACCAATAACCTGTTAGTATTGCATCATCTTTTATGATGCCCCCCTCAGGTGTGGTAATTACTATTCCCATCTTACCATCGAAAAAGGAAGCATAAAGAAGTGATAGCAATTTGTTTGTTTAACCTTTTTATAGCACTCACTATCTGCCAGAAACTGTCCACAGAGCTTTACATGCACTGTGAAGCTAGGGGCTAGGAGAAGAAAGAACTGGGATATGAGTCTAGCATTTTTGACCCTACACCACAGTATTCTCACATTTAAGTGAAGTTTATCTCTGTCTACACAATCCGAGGTAAAGCTAGTAAAGCCACAAGTTCTTTCTATCTATCTATCTATCTATCTATCTATCTATCTATCTATCTATCTATCTATCTATCCATCCATTAAACCAGACATCTATCTCTATTTTCCTGATTATAAATGATCATGATTGAGTGTTGTTTAAATATGAAGGTATTAATGGAATAAGGAGCACAGAAAATAAAAATTCCCCAGATTCTCATTATAGATAATCATTTTTAAATTAATGTATATTCTTTCAGAACTTTTCGGGGATCATGTGTTCTTCTCTTAGGGGTCCTCCTTGTTTCCTAGTTTCTCTGGTGGTGTGGATTGTAGGCTGATAGTCCTTTGCTCTATGTCTAATATCTACGTATGAGTGAGTAATACCCTGCTTGTCTTTCTGTGATTGGGTTACCTCAGTCAGGATGTTTTCTTCCAGTTCCATCCGTTTGGCTGCGAATTTTAAGATTTCATTTTTTCCCACTGAGTAATACTCCATTGTGTAAATGTACTACATTTTCTCCATCCATTATTCAGTTGAAGGGCATCTATGTTGCTTCCACGTTCTGGCTATTACAAACAATGCTGCTATGAATATAGTTGAACATATGTCATTGTTTTATGAATGTGTATTCTTTGGGTATATGCCCAAGAGAGGAATTTGTAATACTTCTTTTGGGACAGGGTCTCACAATGTGGCTCTGGATGGATTGGAACCTGCTATGTAGATCAAGCTGGTCTTAAACTTTCAGAGAACCACTTGGTTCTGCCCCTTAAGTGCTGGGACTAAAGACATGTGCCACCATATATACACTTGAGCCCCATTTCATAAACTACTCAGCCTTGAAAAGTCTCTCTGTGACTACATGAGTCTGCCTTATGTGTTTTCATACTCTGTTGTAGAGTATTCCCAACCATTAGTAGTAATCTGTTGATACATTCAGAGACTTGATATTTTTGTCATTAGCAATAATGCTTCAGTAGATATCCTTCCAGATCTGAGGAACTGTTGAGAATAGGCAATCAATAAGTGCTCAGCCCTAAACAGGGTATTTGTGTCACTCACTTCAAGTCCCAGGGAACATTGTGGATGAGAGGATGAAAGTGCTAACAGAGCTATAGGATTGAAGTTAAGCTCTGTCTTCTGGATATAACATGAGCCATGAAATCATTAACACACAGCATCCGTGATTACCTGCATAACACCTATATAAAAAAGGGAGGAAGAAAGAAGGAATGTGAGGGTAGGAAGAAGACTAGTGGGAAAGAAGGGGGTTGACAAGAGTGGGGAGGGGTTGAGACAGGGTACTGAGCGCGAATGTGATCACTGTGCACTATGTACAAGTATGAAGTTGTTCAAACTAAGAAATCCCAGCACCACCGCAATATAACCTTGTACCTGCATCTCTGTAAGTCTATCTGTGTGTATATGTATATTTGTCTCCAATAAACTGATGGAACTGAAATTTCAAGGTCAAAAGTATATGTATAATTATACACAATAACAATTGTCACAGGTATTCACAAATTGCTCTTCAAAAATGCTTCTTAATTGGCCCTCCTACTAGCAGCATGTAAGAATGACTCATTTCCCTGCAGGCTTGTCAATACTAGGTACTCTCAATTTGTGAACAATTTTAGCAGTCTAGATCAGGGCACTGTAGAACACACTTATATTCCCAGCACAGTGAGGGCTAAGGTAGAACCAGGAGGATCATGAGTTTGAGGCCAGCCTGGGCAACATAGTAAATTCCTGCGCTGCTTGGGCTATATACCAAGATGCTATCTCAGAAGAAAATAGTTTTTAAAAACTTGTCTACTAGAGAGAAACAGCACAACATTCTTTTAGTATGTTTGAAAATAGTGAAATATTGTTAGTCTTCTTATTTCTGATTTTGTGAATTGATCTTTCCTTTCATTTGATAACTGGTTTTGTATAAGTGAATTGAAGAGAGAAGAGGCCCTCAGAGACTACATAAGATTATCATGCATTCTTTTTAAAGGGATAAGTAAACCCTAGAGATTTATGCCCACCATAAACTTCATTCTTAAATGTTGTATTTGATGTTATTTTATTGAGCTGAACAGAAAAACAGTGTTAACCAGCAATAACAATCACTGATACCTGGACTTCATAGTTATTATCATCTTGTAGGTTTAATGATTTATTAGCCAAATGATGATAAGATAATATCATCACATAAGCTGACAATAGCAGACATTCTTACATGTTGGTGCTGTGTGTGTGTGTGTGTGTGTGTGTGTGTGTGTGTGTGTGTGGGTGAGCAAGCTGAGGATGTGTGGAAGTGTGTGTAGAAAGTAATGCACATATGAGTCTCTGCTTTAGAGGCTGTTCAGTGTGGGAATGGTAAGAGAGGGAGAGCATTACATGGCCAGTGAATGTCTGGAGATTCTCAGCTGCCATCATCCTCAGAAGCAGGATTCTGCCAACTTCTGTAATTTCAATCATAACCGTCACTGTTTCAGACTGGTAGTCCTGATATTCCCACCACAAACTGGGGGCTATGGGTTATAACTACATTCTTTTGGCTTTGGCTTGGGCTGTGTGGGGACTGCAACTAGGTTGATGTTGGAAGATCTTCAGAAATTTGTATGTTACCTTGGGGCTCCAAGGTTTGCAGTGGTAACTGTACTCCCACTTAATAGTGTCTTATGATACAGGGGCATGCCTAATTTAAGTCTTCATAGATATTATAAAGTTGCTTGTAGCACAGCTTGAAACAGGCTCAGGGAACATTGTGGAAGAGGAGGCAGACAGAATGCAAGAGATGGGTAATGGGGAGGATTGCTGTGAAATGTTGTCTTTGGATGTGACATGAATGTCACACCAATGAACTCCAGGTGCAATGGTGAAAAGACTACACAAGACTGGGCCCATCAACATTCCATCATAGATGTAGGAGGGGCCTTCTCCCTCCCAGAGGAGTTATAGACTGTTAAAAGTCATATAGAGAGGGGAGTCATATGGTACATTGTCCCCACTCAAGCAAATACATCCCACATACTCATGCATGCAACCCTAATTCAATATAATGTGTTCACAAAAATAGACATGAAAGTAGGGAAGGAAGTATGGAAGAAGGGATTTGGCGGGAAGGGGAAATGGATATGAGAGGATAATGCATGGAGCCAAACTGCATTAAAAGCATTATATATATATATATATATATATATATATATATATATATATTTGTAGAAGAATAAATAAAAAAGCATATCTTCATGTTGTCTTTCAGTGATGTTTGAAAAGACATTGTGAATACAATCTCATTTAATCTTCAAATAATCCTAAAAGCCCTTGAAGATAGGGGTTATCTGGCATAAACTCTAATGTAATTGATGGAACCATGTGTGGAAAGATGTTTAACCCCTTGGCTCCAAATCCCCATTTTTCTGAAGCAAACACTAAGGTTGGGGGAGATCAGTTACTTGTGCAAGGTTGATAGCTGATGAGCGCCAGAGCCAGGGCTTCTTCTAAACTGTCTGACTTTAGACAGTGGTAACTGCTTTCGTGGATGCCTTGAGGTCTTTAAGTCAATGTAGTTCTTAGTAAGGAAATGGGGGGATGTCCTTGGGTAGAGCCATGTCTACCATTCCTGAGACCAAGCAGACACCCCAGAGCTTCTAATGTTGTCCAGTTATGCAGCCCTCAAGCCTTTGTCAGGGCCCTTTCAGTGAGAAACAGTCTCAAGAGGCAGAAGAAATCAGTCATTTTGCTCAGAAAGAGGCATTGGAGAAACAAATTGCTGTTGCATCATGAATGTAATAAGGCAGTTAGGTGGGTGGAAATAATTCTCTTTTGATTATATGCATGAGGACTGGGTAGCAAATTTGAAGTCCAGGCTGCCTTTTCTTGGCCTTCTCCTCCCACTGGCCATGCTTCTAACTATGGCTGCAAAGTGTCCAGCTGCTGTGTGCTTGGGAACACTAATCAAACTTTTCATATTAGCCCAGGTAAAATAGAATTACAGAGAAACTCTTCTGCTAAAAGAATCACACATCAATGTCAAATAGAGATGGTTTTTGTATATCTACTATTTCCTTATTTGCATCAAGATTGACTCATAATTATATTGTACAATTTGACTATACTGCTGAAGATGCTAGAATAAAATAACTGAAATTTCATTTGTTTTCTCTTTTCTTTTTCTCCAAATTTGGGCAGATTCACTTTCACTGAAAGGGAAAAGGCTGGATTTTTATGGAGAAGGTGAGGCATATGTCAGTCTGACCAAGACCATGCCTGAACGAACTCAGCCGACTCACAGCATGCATTGATCTGATATCCATGACTGATGGCTCATATCACTGGATGGCCTTCTCCTATATTACTAATGACACTCTTCTGGGCACAGAAGATATAGACCTTGGACTTGCAGGAGACCATCAGCAGCTGATCCTGTACAACTTTGGCAAGACCTTTTCGATCAGCTATTACCTGATTCCGTTTCACTGGCACACCATATGCTTGATGTGGGATGGTGTGAAGGGCAGGTTAGAGCTCTTCCGGAACAAAGAAAGGATAATTGCAATAACGGATCAGCCACACAACCTGCCTCCTAATGGGACCGTGGTCTTAGGACACTTTTCCAGGAATGGAAAAGGCTGGATTAAAACTGTGGTACCTCACTTCACGGGCAGCTTGTATTACTTTCAGCTCTGGGACCGCATCCTGGAAAATGAGGAGTTTCTCACATGTTTATATGGAAATGTGGTTAGTTGGGAAGATGATGTTTGGCTCACCTACAAGATAAGTCCAACAGTTGACAGGAGACTGCACTGCTGTGAGTAACTTATGCAATATTTTCCTCGGCAAGGGTAGATTGGTCCATCACTGCTCTGTTCACAAATGAGGCTGAAATTATCCATTCCTAGATCAAGGTTCTGTCTTCCTCCAAGGCGCCCAAGGTTCCTGCAATTTTGTCACCTGCTTTCTGATGTAGAGAAAACACTATTTTCTTTTCCCCTTTATTTTAATATAATGTCAAACTCATAGAAAAACATAAGAACAACAAATCTATAGATTTACCCACACTTGTCAATAGTTAACCCTTTGCCATCCACATGCTTTATCATCTTCCCCATTTCCATCTCTTCTCTTCCTGTTGTGAATGCCCCCATCTGTCTGTCTGTCTCACACACCCGTACACACACTCCACATCACATCCGAAGAAGGCATGATTCTTATTTACTACTATTTGTCTCAGTGTATGTTCCTAAAGGACTAGAAATTATCTTAATTGCATCACAGTGATTGAAATGAAAAAAATTTAACATGGATACAACATTAACATCTGATTCCTAGCTGATCTGAAAATTTAGCTAATCATTCTAATAATTACCTTGGTAACCATTTCTTGTTTGGCTTACGATCTGTTTTACAAGCATGCATTGCATCTAATTCCCAAGTCTCTTTACATGCCCAGTCTCTCCTTTAGTTTTTTTGTTTGTTTGTTTGTTTTTACCTAGACATTCCTAGTATATAGTCCAATTGTTTTATGGGCCATCCCTTAATTTGGATTTCTCTACGGTTTTGGTAGCTAGATTCTAGCTGTTCAGTTTTTGGTAAGAGTACTGGCTAAGTGATGCTGTGTTTTCTCATAACAGTAGAAACATAGGACCAAATTGTCCCTATATTCAAAATGATAAATTTGATTAGTTGATTTTCATGTCTGCCAGATTTTTTCACTGGAAATGTATTATCCTTTTCCTTTGCAATTACTTTCTAGGGAGATGTTTGGAGACAATGTAAATATCCTCCTACCCAACTTTTCTCCAATACTTTT